AATGTTATTTCACGACACTTAGAAAAAGATAAATTTAAAACAAGGCATTGTATTCGTCGACAAATTGTATTATATAGCATGCTGTGTATATAATGACCGTGCTAAAAAGAAACGATTGTCCAGCAAGGTGCGCGTCTTGCTTTTCAGCCTTCTACTTAAAATCCTACTGTTTAACTCTCATCTTATCTATGCTACTGCTATTCTAGTGGTGACAGATCTAACCTTTAGCAAGTTTGTTGCTTGAATCAACAGGAAAGAGGCATCGTTTTGTATCCTGCTGCTCCTACAGCAGCAGGATGAGCGCATATCGCTCTTCAGTCATCCGCCAGTCGCCTGATCAGATATTCGGTCACTAGTTTCATTGTCCTATCATATGATAGGTTAGAATGAGGGGTTTATACAGCAGGACGTAGACAGTGTTCATAAGAGTTAAAGTACACGCGCGCAAACGGGTGTATGCTTCAGTGTTTGGACCAAAAATATCGCTACGTTCCAACGTCAGTGTGCCTGGATTCAACTTCCCTCGAAAGCGCAGCTCCGTTATATTTCTAGGAAACGTCCTGTGCATGGGTGTGAGCCCCATGTGCTTTCGAGTGTAGCACATATTATACACCTCTTATCGCTAAACGCACTGCTTATAGTCGTTGGCGCGATGAACAGTTGGAGGCAACTGCGAAAGAAAAAGGTGGACATTATTGGCGTCACTATCACGCAGATGGTAACTGCGAAAAGAGGGAAAATTTGTTGAGAAAAAGCAGGAAATTCATCCTGCTGCAATCGCTCCCGTCGGGTCCAGGAGCCGAGAACCAGGGGTAGCAAGGTATACAGCAGAAAAGACCCATTCCGTTTGAGATCGATTGTGGGTCTTGTGTTTTACTACGATTTCGGAGAACATCACCGTCTCTGCTGATTTGGCTCATTTACGCTAAAAACCGTGCTGCTATCAGTTCTGCTGCCATCTACGTAGAGACCAGTGAAGTCCTGGACGCTACCGCCGATGTCCTGCTAGGGAGCTCTTGGTAGAGTTCTGTTGGCTATGTTGACTAGCTGAATAACGGAAGTGTTAGTTTGCGTCAGTGGCATTTTCGCGACCCTGCCAGCTTTAAACAACTAACGGTAACCGACCATCATTCTAGGCCTTACCAGCAGCAGGGTAGGTTAGCTCAGCTTGTGTGCGTTTAGGCTCCTCTTTCCAGTACATCACACAGGTACCTCACGCCTTTCGCTGACTTGCTGAGGAAGTGACGGACCAGTCGTTGACCGCCACTAAATATTTTCCTAACAGGCGTTGATAATTCTTCTGAAAGCGTAGTGGGTAACGTATTTGCCTACTAATCTTCGGGACACGTTGTGGTGTAAGTTCGAATCCGGACATAGACACACTTCCTTTCGTACTGGAAGCCAGTAATCCAATAGAATGGCTAACGGCGATGCCGGACTAAAACTCTAAACGGAAAGGCGTTGACAATAGAAATGAATGACATATGGGAAGTAGAATTCATTCTAACTAATAATATCTAGATTGACCGGCTGACAAAACCATAGCTATGATAAGGACTAAGCCTGCCAAAAAGTATTTATCTACATAGAATGTATACTGTGGATGTGAGAATCTGTATGAGCGGTATAGTACTACGCTATGCGATAACTAGGCCCAAATTTTTTGCTCCGGTCTTCACGTTCCTGTTCCTCTCAAATCCAGGCGCCTATTGGCAGAGTCCCATAAACATGTTGGAGTCACCGGTTCCCGATAAAGTCCAGGTTTTCCTTTGCACATACCTGCGATGCGCGTTTTTGCACACGTCTTCAGTCCTTGGAACTTTGGCAAAGCCCGGTCAGGACCAGTAATGCTATATCTGCTGCTTCCGACAAGGGTTCGCCATATCCTACGATTGTGAGTCAGGTCACAGTCAATGTACCTCTTCTGTTTTAGGTTCATCTGAATGTCGCTGTTATGGTTAACCTCGGCGTCGGTGTTGGCCTTTTGGCGTTGTCATCCCCGCTAACGCAATTATCGTCACCGGTATCTATTGTTACACGAGAAATCGTCATGGTAGACAACGTTGGAAGCGGAACGAGTCGAATGGCGGCAGCAGTCGACTGTGGCAGCGATAACGCTCCCGGCGATCTCTGTTCAGCACAGGGGGGAAGCTTGTTGTACTAAGAGGAAGCCAATGGAAGGTAGAATCAGCTGTAGTAGTGTCGTATAGAGACAGACGAGCGAACAGAGCAGCAAATGTAGTGAAATGTGAGGGCGAAAAGAGGCTTACTTCAACTCTTAGCGCCGGGGGTGGTCTTCAGAAGAATGGTGCTCATGGTGCGGTTGATGTTGAGAGATCTTCGGGTGAAATTTGGAAAGAAGGGGACGAGTGAGGGGAAAAGGATGACGCTACGTTTTTTTGCTCCTGCTGCCGCCCGCCTACTCACAAACCGCTTGCTTTGGCCGACTAAAGGTTAGGCCAAATCCTTATCGCCGCGTGAGCCTACCATCGCGGTCGAACAAAACAGCAGACCTTTGCAGCGGGTGCCAGCGTTGTCCCTGATTTGAGGCCTTTCGAGGGACTGGAATCCTTTGGGGAACGAATATAACGATGGAAAACAAAGACGGGGGTAAGTTGGACAGTGGGTAAAAAAGAGCTACAAAAGGTAAGGCTGGTTGCCGGTCGTCGTACTGGCTAGTAAGGCCATTCTTTGTTACAACAAAATGTAAGAGCTATAGAAGGCACTCGCAAAGAATACAAGGAAGCGGGTTGGCTTATGGCAGTAACTAGGGCAAAAGCAAAGAACCAAAAGGTGCCGCTGCTACTGCTTTAGCTGTCCGACGAGACAAGAAATAGAGTAAATTGATGAACGATGCTTTTGCTCCTTCCGATGTTGCCTAGCCATTGGTCAGCCGGTAGTCAGATGCTGTTAGTTTCCTGCCATCGTTGCCAACGTTGACATCCCACCTCTACCGTTGTTACCCCTTGATCGGTGGTCAAAAACGACGACGATGGCGGCAATGATCGGACAGCGGATCGACTATATATATATATATATATATAGGCTTGGACTTCCCATCTGTGCCATTACTCCCACTCGGTCTCTTGGACCTTGCAAGATCACACGACACCCAAGTCACTAGACGACCGGACATCGGAGCAGACCCACCATCTGCCAATGGCCTCAGCGGCTTTTTCTCGCCGTGTAAGCTTTGTCCGCCTTAGCCTTCTATAGCAAGGTAGCAACTAACGAATTACTCCATCGAAGTTGTTGTATGAGATACAATCAGTAAGTCATGAGCAACCCTATGGAAGGACGGAGGCTATAGTGATGGCGTGCAACCGTGAAACGCTGGCAAAGGTTGTTGTTAATGTTGCCGATGTTACTATTATGGTAACAGTGGTTATGGTGGTCGTAAAGGCTGGACAAAATTGCACTTTGTCGTTGTCGTTGTAGCGTGCCAATCATAAGGTAGCCTAAACAACATTTGTGTTGACCAGGTGGTAGATTCACTGCGTCATTTACAGGCCGAGTGTCCGGAGCATGCCAGTAACATAATAATAACTGCTATGAATCAATTGAACTCCGTTGCTTCCTAAAGCATCATATCTCAATACGTGAAGAAACAAAAGGTACAGGCGGAAGCTTGGCAGGGTATACACACCCCCCATGCTACACGGAGGTAAGCAGTTTAGAATATCAGGTCCTATAAAGCACACAGTATCCCCGTAGTGCTTAAAGCCTTTAGAGTTATCATTACACCCAGACGTAGAGAGATTTCACTGTTCGAAACGTTGCTATATAACGATGAGGGACGTATGAGAATTTGACATTACGTACTTTTAGGGGCACGATTTGTTAAAAATTCTTCTAGGCTGTGTGGCGACGATCATTTTTGTGTTAGTAGCAGCCAGAGTGCTTATTCTAAACTGCCTTAGCTAACCACTGAGACGCTGCACTAAGGGTTAGCCAAGCTTGAGAAAGATAAAACGAAACCGAGGGAGAATGAAATCTTCAAGGGCGCGAGAGTGGTCTGCGGTTTAGCAAGCCACTGGGGAAGAAAATTTTATGTAGAACGAGTAAGATTAGGTGTCTGTACCCTTGGGTGCCTAAATGAAGATTGATTGTAGATTGTGTAATTCTGGGTGCCTATAAGTCCACGCGCTGTTCACCGCCACGGGTTCAGGTGAGCATTCAGTGTGCTCTCACTTTAACTGCAGCGTGTAGCCACAGGCAACGACTCGGCTGAACGGACGGAGCCCCGAAAAGGAGCCTCAACGTATCTTGCACCTGTGCTATGCGGCATATTGTACACGCCTCAATGTGTGTAACGAAGCTCTTTCATTCGTATAGCTACTCGAGCTCTGTCCACCGGATGCGAACGCATATAAAGGACTGTAATAAGAATAGGCCTACCAGAGTTTCCAGGATGGCCTGGGACAGCTTCATATTTCAAGGTGTATTAATAACATAATATTAGCGTATTGAAACCATAGTAACGAAATATAATAAACCTGTGTAAAGAACTGAAAACTTGCAGTATCACCATGATTTAGAGGAAGGTACTTCGTTTTCACGTTGATTTAACATTATTAACAAAAATCATACGTTTCCTGTAGCAAGTGAATAGCGGAAATACGCGTCATCTATTTTGGCGAAAAAAATCAGTCTTTCCTTCTGGAAAGCTTGCTTATTAGTATGTTGTGTTTATCACACTCGTTTGAGCTAGACCCACAGGAAACGTCTAGAACCCCGTACATTGGACTCTGGAGAAGGAAGAAAAAAACTTTGCTGTAATTTACGATGACTGTGATTCAAATTTGATATCGGTAGAATATTGTCTTGTTTTGTTTGGACTATACAATAGGTACTTGTTTGTTTTTTACGTTACACATTACGCATTGCGCATCGATCGTAGTAGCTTCTTCCACTGTAACTCTTCCTCGGTCATATTTCGTCGTGTTTGATTATTATTTTACATTGATTCTATCAATTTCTCTAATCGTCGCCTTTTTCAGATGGTCACGCGAACAAAAAAAGTATTTGTAGGAGGCCTCTCAGCACCCACTACACTCGAGGACGTGAAAAATTATTTCCAACAGTTTGGACGGGTGAGTACCAGTGACGTACTTAATTAGTTAATTGTTTTCGTTAAAAAATTTTCTATACACAAACTTATATGAATTTTGTTATCCATACAGATATCAGAACGCAGTCTTGAAGATCAAGCTTCCCGAACAAAAACAATAAACTTGCAAGATAGTCAATGTTAGTTGTTTGGTCCTAAACGAACACAAGCGGTGTTTCCAATTTATTAAACTTTTTCGCGACTAGTCTCTTAATGAAGCATTGCCTTTCCCCATACATACTTTTCAAGTTTCTCCATCAAACTCCAATCAGCAAAGTAGAATTCTTACGAAGTTTGAATCGGTTGCTGACACGTACCTCACACAAGATCTCAGTGCCAGCCCTGGGGCTACGCACGCCATCACGCCGCATTTCACTTCTCAAGATGCGCTCTGGCTTCGAAAACACCATTTCTCTGTTTCTCTCATCATCGACCCATGTGTTTTCCTTGTGCCGGAATCGTGGGCTGAGCTACCTTTCGCCTTTCTCGCTGGATCTCAGCAGCGATAGTAGCAGCGCAGCTAGAACGAGGCCAAGCAAACAACAGTCTCTACTGTTCTGACTCAAGCGCTCAATGGGATAGCTGTATCCGCTTCGAGCCGGCCCTTCTCGGCCGCCAGTGAGTTGAACCTCTGTTTTTTATAGCCGACAATTAATACTCCCGACCAATGTGCAAATCCGGCGGCCAAGTGCTTAGCGGCCATTTTAATGGGGCCACTCGATGAGTTCGGGTGTGGGTTTCGGGGTTTGAGTAACGGCATATTGAAAATTGGCGATTGGGATCGACGCTTTACTCCACTAGGGATTGCGATTGTGTGAAGTGAGCCATGAACAAAGTGTAAGCTAGGGGGGCATGATGGGCTAAGTTAGGTTCCTGCTCGCTCCCTGCTTACTTAGCTGTATAGGTGACTGGCCTCCACCTCTCAGAGATGCTTCTTTTGATTGCTTGCGAACGAGTTTGCTCGTTCACGCACCAGGTGAGGGATTCCAGCGACTACCTTCTGTAGAAACCCGTCCAGCAAGGGATGCTTTTTCTACAACAAGAACACTTTTTGCCTTACAGAGTGAGCCTTATGAGGAAGTAAATCGTTTCTATATAGCAGTATATAATGATAGTAAAAAGAGGGGTAAGTAAGAGATCAAGATCAGTGGCCGGCGTAGCTGAGTATGGGCTGCACAGTACAGTGAGAGCTTCGCGGTTTGCTATCTTGCCATAAGCTTCATGTTGCTAACATAGATCAAACCCTGAGCTTGCCCCTTCTCTTCCCGTTACCCACCAACCGCTATCGTCATTTCTCCCGTTTTGTCAAGCCCTGGTTCGCTGTATATCGTTTGCGTCAGTTAAAACTCTTCCAATGGCCTCTGTGTTACTACGATAACTCTGACAAATTTTAAGTAACGCTGTTTGCCGATGCGACTCAGGCACCGTGGGGCCCTACAGGGGTGGCATGAGCACAGGGTGCAGTCCAGTAAAGGGAGAGGGAGAATGACACGATAGAAAATGCAGTAGCAGGCCGATTCGGGTTGAGCGGAGCCCATTTGCATTTGGACAAGTAGCAGTAAGCAGCCGTGGCCAGGCTATGGACTGGAAGCTAAGATCGAGCTGTTCCACGGGGCTGCATTAGGAAACGCTACAGTGGCAGTGTGGGCTGTGAGCAGTCCCGCAAAAGTGGACCCAGCCGCTGAGCTAGATTGGCGCCTTTCTCCTACTGCGCTGATTGACTTAGGACCATGAAGGCGGCGCCGGCACAGTGGGAACTTTGGCTTCGTTCATCAACGTTTGCGTGAGTTTCTACTTCCATGAAGCACTAACGCATGGCTTTGCAGACCTCTTCTTTTCGGCAGCAAACAATGTGGTGCACGTTCATTCTGCCGCGCAACGTCCGACCAACTAGAAGGTGGAACTGCGACACGACGGACAGTTACTGGGGTAAAAGACGTCGGTGGGAAAAGGGGTGAGATCCAGGGGTTTGAATACTCGTGGTCACCTGGTCAAGCGACCAAGCAGTCATCTACGTTCTTGACGAAACATCGGTGGTAAAACTGTTAAATCCGTCACCGTCAGTAGCGGCAACGTTCACCTATGGAGATCGGCTGAACTGCCCTTCTGGCCTGCTTGCCAGAATACTTTGCCATGTACATGAAAATTACGTGGGTACCTGGTTCGTGCGTCACTACCGGGTTGCGGGGATAGATACTTCAGGTTGGCCCTTGATTTGAGTGACTGATCGGGACGCCGCGTCCCTGTTCGATCAAGCAATGTTCTATGCCAGGTTTATCGTTACATAACTCTCTCTGTCTCGATTTTTCTTTCGTATCTCTCTGCGTTTCTCATCCTACCTACAACGATGGGGCAATGTGGCTGAAGCGGTCGTTGTCAGCTTAACCGTCACTGTTCGTCCCCCGGAGGTGTTCTGTAGCATTTTCGAATTGTGACCGGAATTTTAAAACAAGCGTATCCCCTCGCTTTTCTGAGGGTTTCCTTTGTGCCCACACCTGCCGCTGTTCTTTTATGTTTGCGCTGACGTCAGTTGGAATGTCACGATTCTGTAGCTTCCTGCAGGATTCTGTGTGTACAGCATTTGTTTAAATTACTTCAGCACCGACTGGCTGTTGTTGTCGAGACAAGACATTGTTAGATTGACGGTTTGAAGATTGACACAAAGGACATTTGAGATCATAGCCCTGCTCTAAAAACCTAACAACTTCGATATTTAAGGTTAGGCCTGGTGATGGCTATATTACCAGTAATAATAGTTAACCGCTGAGCGATGCATATCGATATAATATATATATATATATATATATATATATATTAATGATGCGAACGATGGACGATTTCTGGGTGGGTAAAGCAACAACGCGTGGCGTCGAAGCTCAAACCAAAATAGAGGAACTATTGTCTGTAAAGGACAAATTACTCTCACATGACCTGCATGGAAAAATTGCGCTGCTTCGCTAACCCTTTGATAAGAACTGGGAATATCAGGCCGTATAGCCCGTCGCGTTTGTCTACAACACGTTCGTTATCAGGCTTTTACTTGGACTTGTAGGGCTTACTATATTTGTGCAATCCGCACTTCACAGAGTCCAAATCAGAAGCTGCTGCTATCCTACGAGGTCAGGGATTTATTTCTGAAAAATTCGCTTTCCCGAACAGGGTACATGTTTTGCTTTCGGAGTGAAGGCCACAGATAAGTTGTCCGACGACTTCTTTTCACTAGCACCTAGGTTAAGATAATGGGTGTTATTTGTCTCAGCTCCTAAAAAGGTATTCTGTAATATGTTCTAACTACTCAAAAATCATTTTCGCCCATTGTAAATGACAAAGGTGACATCAAAAATATACCACTGCCTTATGTAAATCGTGTAGAAAATATTGTTGCAGGGCTCGAACGTACTTTCCCAGTAAACATAATAAAAAAATGTATTTCTTACGCTTTTTCCTCTTTGTCCTCCACTTGTTCCTCACACAAATTGTAAAATTAAGCTAAATACCTGGCCAGCGGAGGGTTCAGGGCAGATATGAATGGTTGCTTTTTGAGGGAGCTTTGTTCCAACATGAACGATACCGCGAACCAGTAGAGACAAGTTATATAGTAGGCTCAGTGATATGGACGCAAATTTTTACTGAATTTATCCGCAGTGTTCGCCCCCGCTTGCTACTCTCACTCATATAACTTATTAGTTTCGACCCTATTTCGACAATTTCTCTGCAAGTGGGTGAAGTTGCCGAAGCACTTGATGACGCGTAATCTCAACCAGCAGCAGTAGCAGTTAATATTAGGGCTATTGCATCAATTGTCTTGGCTAGGCTGTCATGCCTGATGTTCCTTGGCTACTCATTTTGTCGTTGCACAATGTGTGAACCCTGAAGGGCCACAGATCAGGGACGAGTGCAAGCGGATGAGTCTCGTGTTGTTCACTATATACAGAGTTATACAATTATTATCATAACATTTGGCGTTCCGTTTTGTACCACTAACTAAATTTTGTAAATAATTCGATACGAGCAGGGCACTTGGCGTTGGCGGCGTCCTACAGCTTTACCATTACGTGATTGGTTACACTGTCACGTTAGATAATCTCCCTACATAATATATACGCTATTAATTATAGTAGCATCAAAGAGCCACGTATTTTCGCCTGTGAAATCTTACTACGACGACGAACGCATATATATACTAACCAGCAAAATCTAGTAACACGTTATTGTATTTCATCTATTCAGTCCATTGACATGCAGACTTAACCTTAAATGACCTTAAAGGCTAGGCTGCGTCGCTATAGAGGAGGAGGCAGCAGCAGCCCCGCCTTCGAGACTCGTTCGGCGGTTTCGTTTGTTTCGTGATATCTAAGCGATATTTGTAATGAGATCGCCGTCGTTGAACAGATTTCGTTTGCTCGGCGCTTGTCCTCATACACATGTATATACATATGACAGTCATGAGGTTGCCTCAGAAAAAACGAAGCACTAGCGAGGCAAAGGCAAACGAAGCCTGGATGGTGGCCTCACGGACTCCCGAGAGTTCGCCCGAGTACTGGAGAGACGCTAAGGACGACATGAGATGAGCGCCGCGGCGCACTCGGCTTGCGTCAGTTATAAATGACAATGTGGTGCTGCTGTCTTTGCCGCGCTACCGAAATCGCTGCTGTTGCTGTAAGGGTGCCTGCCAACTGTTTGGCTTATACGCCTTTTTCTTCTTGACAGGCCTTCCTCCTGAGAAGGTTGAACGAGGAAGAGTACACGGCGATCCTAGATCCAGGACCAGGGGTGCTTCCAAAACAGGGCAGGCCAACGAAAGGGCAGTCGATTGCCAAAGGGGCGGCAGCAGCCGTACAGGAGTTGTGAGGATCACATAGCGCAAAGCACTGCGACGACGAAGGCTACTAGCTGTAGCAGAATGTAGCAGCAGGAACCAACTCTTGGATTTGAAGGTTCCCCCGCCTTCAAATACAACCATGCCTCACGTCTCCCCTTGCC